GCCAGAGGTGAGACACGCCACACACAGACACGTGTGTACTCGCAGGCAGCCATGGACCTGATGCCCACTTGTTGGTCTTCGTGTGTGTTGTCTTGTAGATGCTCGCTGGTCTGGCCTACGAGCCCTCCAGATGCGACGTCTGGTCGTGTGGGTGAGCGGACAGACCAGCGAATAATCGACACAGACTGCATGCACGTCTGTGTTTGTTGCACTGTGGGTGCAGGGTGGTTCTGTATACGATGGTCTGCGGCCACTTGCCCTTCCAGCACCCCGACAAGGCCGCGCTGCACGATAGGATACGACGAGGCGACTACGAGGTGTGAATATTCACACACGACTTCGCATGCCATGATCGAATGAGTAAGGCAACATTCATTAAGATCGTGGACTTTAATTAATTTGTCCAATACATACCAGGTGAGAGAGGGAGGGAGGGTACCCACAGCCCACCCGTATCCTCTTCTTTCTCTCTCTCTCTCTCTCTCTGTGGTTTTGTCTGTGCAGGCCGGTCAGTTGCTCAAGACGTCGTGCGGGTCGCCGACTTATGCCGCACCCGAGGTGAGACACACCACACACAGACATGCATTCCTCCTCACCCGATGCTCACTTGGCCATTCACGTGTGTTGTGTTGTGTTGTCTTGCCTTGCAGATGATCGCTGGCCGTCAGTACGTGCCCGCCGTGTGCGATGATGTGTGGTCGTGCGGGTGAACCAGCCAAGCAGCCCAGCCCGCATTGCCTTACACAACGCATACCAGACACGTCTGTGTCTGTCTGTGTCCTGTTGTGCCGTGTTGTGTTGTGAATGGGATGCATTGCAGGATAATTCTCCACGCGCTGGTATGCGGGCACCTGCCCTTTGAAGACCCCAGCACGGCAACCTCTACCGAAAGATACTCAGTGGCGACTCGACAGACAGGCAGGCAGGCCGGCAGGCCAGCGACTGACTCATCGGCGGGGGAGCCCAAGATCGCTGCCTACACTTTATATTCGACGGCAGAGACATGATGGCTGGACGCATGTGTGCATATATGTACTCATGTGTGTGTGCGTGTGACGGGACCTTTGAGTACATTTGATTGATGCTACAACGGACCACTTAATCAACCATTGCTGCAGGTGAAGAATGACGTACATACGCACGTGTTGACGGCACAGAGCCATCCCATGGGAATGAGCTCTTGGCTCATAGAAATGACACAGGGAAGGAAGGAGTTCACAGCAGCCAGCCACAGCCTCGGCTAAGTAGGACACTCCCGGCATAAAAAGACATGCGTACATAATACACAACGCATGCTCAGTGGGGCTCGGCCGGCCTTTCTGGCACATCCATCCATCAACACATTTAGCGAGCGGGGCCAGGCGGGCCATCACATGATACATACATGTGCCTGGGAACCGACCCCTAGCTGAGTGGCTAGAGTGCCGTGGGGATGTATCGGCTCGTGCGCTCGCCATTCCTGATGATCTCCCTGCACATACACAAGACACACAAACAGACACAAAGACATTCACACACGTTTCCGTTGCCGTCCATCCCATCCCATCCATGCATCCCTCATGTCCCTGTCTGTCTGACCGTGCGATTTCCGCTCGTGTGTAGAGCAGCCGCAGGTTGTCGTTCATGTTGGGGTTGAAGGTCATCGGCCGCCCCCGCGCCAAGTGCTGGTCAGTCTCCCCGTGGCGGTCCACATACGGAACGTCAGTAAACGCATTCCTATACACACAGAGAGACAGAGAAGCAGACATCAACCCATGCAGACAGGCAGCGTGTGTGTGTGTTGTGTCGTTACTTGGGTGCGTCGACGAGCAGCAGGAGTGCCTTGTGTGTGAGGAAGAAGACGCCCTGGCCGTTGCCGCATGTCCGCGCGTGGCGGGTGCACTCACCCTGACATCACAATCAGCACACGACAGACCAACCAAACCATCCACCGCTCCATCCATCCGGCTGTCCATCCATCAATATCTCTTGCCTCTTCGAATCTCCGTTGGTCGTGTTCTCTGAGGTTGACGGCCACCACACACCCACACAGCAGACACAAAGCCGGCTCCTCAGGCAACTTCCCGCACTGGACAGGATACCCACACAGACACCCACGACACGACACACCCGATCATTGCAAGGAAGTGCCCACATGTATCTCCCCCCTCCCTCCCGTGCAGTGCTCAGCTGGCGTACAATGGCGCTTTTGCGTCCATAGGTCATGCGGATGACCTCGACATACGTCTTGGGCAGGTGACAGAACTTGACGGGCTCGATGCGGTCCACCTGGGGCGGCACCACCGACACGCCATACCGACGCCAGTGCCGCGCACCCGACGGCCGCAGCTCGGGGTGCCACATGACGTTGACGGCCTGCCGCAGGAGGGAGGGGTCGAGGCAGTCATCGAGCGTCTGGGGCATCCCCAGCACCTGCGCCAAAGCCGTGAACCGTTGAGCTGCGGCGTTAGACAGAAACGCTACACGATTTCTGCACACATAGGGGAGGGAGGGAGGAACAGAGAAACAGAGGCAAGCACGTGTGTAGAGGGGTGTGTGTGTTCGGATGTATCTCTTTCCTGTCTGACTCACTTGTCTGTGTCGTGGAGTTGCCACAGACACGAGACGATCCAGCATGCGATTTGCATGAAGGACGAGAGGCTCTCGTGCAGCTGCTGCTGGAACAGCTCCCACAGCGCCGCACGCCCAGCCACACGCTCGGCCTCACTGCCGTACCACAGCAGCCTCGACACACCCTCCCTCCCCCCGCCACAGGTGCTGAGGAAGTCGAAGACCGAGAAGCACAGCTGCTGCAGCCCCTCCTCACACCTGACGTCGGCCGTGCCGTCCATCTGCGTCTCGGAAATGTGCGGCCTGGCCTGCCGCAGCACCCGCAGCAGCTCGTCCATCACGCGCCCCTCTTGCTCACTCCACTTCCTCCCCGGCACCTTTGACCCACTGTCAGGCGGCCGCTCGCCCCCCCACTCCTTTGCAAGCCTTTCGACTGTCTCCTCGGCTATCGGCGTCAATGTGCGCGCCCTGGATGAGTGGAATGGGTCCATGATCGACGACCTGTCGTCCGGCCGCCCCTCAGCGGTCAGCCCCAGCCACGACAGGCCCAGCGCGGCGTCGTCATCGAGCTTTCCGTTGTGGGCTGTGTCATCCAGAGCACGTGTGAAAAGCTGACGGGCCAGGTCGTAGTTGAGGGCCATCTGCAGGCAGACGTCGCGCGTGTTGGGCGCCTGGGTGGCTCGGCCGTGCGGGGCGCCGAGGAGGTAGTCTGCAGGGATGAGGAAGGAGGGGTCCTTGGCCGCCCTTTCCCTCTCCTTGAGCAGCCTCTCCAGCTGTGTTTGCCGCTGGGTGGTCGCCGCCCCGATGATGACCTCGTTGAGCACCTGCATGGCGCGGACCGTCATGAGCTGCCGGATGGCCTCCCTCATCTGGCCCGGAGAGGTCATCTTGCCGGCCACGAAGGAGCTCATGAGGGCCCGCCTGACATCGCACCCCCATGGCGTGAAGGGGACGTCTGTGTAGCCGTCGCTGCCGTCATCGTCGGAGCGTGGACTGAGGGGCTCTAGAGTGGCGCCTGGGGGGATGTGAGCGGGGAGGGCATCGGTGAAGGGGACGTGATCGACCTCATCCAATTGGGGCGGAGTGCTGGGGTGGGTCAAGGTCGGCGGCTGGTGCTCACCCGCCCCCTCCACACCATGCTCATCCTCCATCAACTCCTCAGGCACCATGTCCATCCTGTCCCCGGCCGCTGGCGGGTGCGGGGCGGCGGCAGCCGCCTGCTGCTGCGGCCGCTGCTCCTCCTCTGTCGCCTTGCTTGGCGGCCTCCCGGCCTCTTCCCGCGTGTCGCACACCTGCGGGAAGAAAGGGTTGAGGATGCGCTTGTCCCTCCAGAAGTCGACTGAGAAGTAGTCGTCGCTCAGGATGGGCGTGAACTCCTCGCCCGCTGCCACGGCCCACCAGTGGGCCGTCAGCCGGTACAGCAGTGCATTGCGGATGAGCGTGACGTACAGGGGGACGGGTGGGACTGAGAGGGCGATCTGGTTGGGCCGCAGGGCGGCGGAGATGAGCAGCTCGTAGTAGGCCGCCCAGCTGACGTGCGTCATGCCCTCCCAGCAGGTGTGGGCCAGCACGAGGTGGGGGTGCTGTGGGTCGGCGACCTTGCCGCGGGAGCAGGTCTCTGGCTGGTCGAAGGAGTCTGTCCAGCACTTGTATGCGTCCTCTCGTGTGGTTGGGGGGAGGCTGGGCTGCGTCTGGGCGTCAGGGACCATGATGTAGCCGTCAGGCTTCACACGGATGTCCTGGTCGGGATGCAAACTGACACACAACAGACAGACAGCATGGAGGATTAATGAGAACAGATCATTCCCCATCTCCCTCTCTCCCCTTCCCTTCGTGTGCGTCGGTGCGTCTCCCCTACCAGTCGAGGTAGTGTAGGTGTGAGTATCTGCCCAGCTCCCTCCTGAGCACCTGCCCAAGGAGAAAGAGGTACCGATCATCGCCCTCGAAGCACCTCTCGGCGTCGTCGAGTGCCACGACCTCCGTCTCGTCGGTCTTGCCAAACTGCTCCCCGATCTTGTCCTCCGTCCCGCCCACCCAATCCAGCGCTCTCAGCCCCTCCACCGGGTGGTCATTCTCCTGGTCGGGGTGGTCATCCGACGCCGGGGAGTGGTCCTCGTCCAGGTCGAGCATGGAGTGGTCCCCCGGGCCGCTGCGGTCGCTCGGAGAGCCGTCTGTCTCGTCTTGCTGCATGGCTGGAAGGCCTTGAGAGGTGAGCTGCTCGATCCGCTCCTCGCTGGCCTGCACCGTCAACGGCTCCGCCCTCGCTCGCCGCTCATCGGACGTCAATGGCCGCGAAGAGTCCTGATCACGCTCCTTGGCGAATCGCAGCCGCACGTGGCTGTCCGGGGGAGGGGGCGGGGGTGCGCCGTCGATGTCCATGGCTGCTGGGCCGTCTGTGTCTGTGGGCGGTGGGTGGGGAGGCCGGTGTGGACGCCACATGAGTGTCTGGGTGTTGAACGAGTCGGGGTGTACGATGTATGAGAGGGGGAGGTAGGGGAGGCGGATGTTGGACAGGGCGCGGCACATCGGGCAGGGGAACTCCCCCATCTCAACAGACACAAAGAAGAACTCCCCAGTCTTTATAGATGCACACACACAAAGACACACACACACACACACACACAGAGAGAGAGAGAGAGACAGACATATACAAGTCTGGTTGTCGTCCCTCCTTGTGCTTCATTCGGTGGCTGACTTACTTCGTGTCTCTGTTTGACGTTGAGCAGGTGCTGTCCAAGGCAGGACAGATGCCCAACATGGCCGCATGTGGTGATAGCCGGACACCTCCACGGCATCGCCCTCTTCCCCCTCTTGGCCACCCGCGGCAGCACGTCACTCACGCTCACCGACGCCAGGAGGGCCAAGGGCGACTCGGGCGTCCCCTTCTCCCTGCACAGGCAGCAGATGAGGTCGTCGTCCTTCTCCAGGAGCCGCTCGTCTGGAGCCTCCAGGGTGTCGTTCATGGCGTCCTCGTCTTCATCATCGAGGTCTTGCTCGTCCTCGAGCAGATGGGAGAAGTTCTGCTGCACCTTAACGAAGTTGGCCAACATTTGCGCCTGCCGCTGCTTGGCCGTGTCCATCCTCGCCTTGCGCGATGAGGCAGCGGGGCCCAGCGGCTTGGCGGCTCCCTCGGGGGCGTTGTTGTCCTTCAGCCGACCGTGCCAGCTCACAACCCTGTGCAAAAGAAGCGGCACGAGACGAGACACACATGGGTGTGGGTGTGGGTGTGGGTGTGGGTGTGGTTTTGATTACCTACCTCGGCAGCAGGACTTTGAGGCACCTCTGATGGAAGTCTGCCCCCTCCATGTGTTCCATAAGGTAGCTCAGGGTCTCTATCAGCTGATCCACATGCCCAGCCGTCAGCCGGTCAAGCACCACAGACCGCGCACTCACCCCGCCCTCCCCCTCTCCACCCCCATCCCGCCACTCTCGTGTCGCACTCCGAGTGCTCTCCGCTCCGGGCCCGTCCATGGCGGCGACCGACAGCATCAGCTCCTCATCTCCGCCCTTGGGCTCCGAGGGGTCCGGTTTGGGAGCGAGGGGCGGGGAGGGGTCGAACGTCAGAGGGGGAGAGGTGAAGGGTGCGTTAGAGTTGGGGCATGCGAATGCCGACGACGGTGAGAGTGAGCGGATGGGAAGGGGAGATGCGTCGGGGGGTATGCGGGTGGGGAGCTTCTGCCTTGTGTGGAGGGGGTTCTGCGTGTTGTGGAGGCTGTCCAGGATCTTCAGGATGGACGCGAACAAGGGGTCGGCGTGGGGGTGGTCACCATGAGCACGATGCGCCTCTGAAGCCAAGCAACAACAACAAAAGAGAAAACACCCAGAAAAGATCATTGCGTGATGTGTGTGACTGCGCGGGCGGTCCGCACCTTCTGCGCCGTGTTTCTTCCTCATTTTGATGAGAGCTTTGACGCGTGCGTCGAGTGTGTCCAGGATGAGGTCGAGCAGCAGGGTGTCCTTGAACGAGTCGGCTATCAAGTCGCGCACATAGTCATACTCCATACTCATCCCAGAATCAAACCTACACACACACACACACACACACACACGCACACACAGGCTCTCCCCTTTCACTGTTGCCCCCTCACCTAACCACCCCGCCCACCTTGTAGGTCCGATGAGTGTGGCGTGTTTCTGCTTCATGGCGGTTTCCTCCAGGTTCTGGAGGTCCTGCCGATTGCCCACCGCCCAGAACGTGTCCACCAGCGCCCATGCAGCAGGCTTCAGCCGATACACAGACCGGCCCCCTCCCCCTGGACTCGCATCCACACCACTTGCAGCCGCCGCAGCACTGCTGGCTGCTGGTGCGGCATCTTGGTCGCTCTCCTCTTCGATCAGCGGTGGCTGTGCCTGGCTTGCAGCGGTCGGCTGCTGCGCGGCAGTGGACCGCTGCACGTCGGCAACCTCCTCGAGCAGCATCTCGAAATCGGGGTGGTGCCGGGCGGACCTGTGTGACGGACGGGCGGCACGGAGAGAAGAGAGCAGACACAATGAGGGATGGTGTGTGAGGGAGGGCGTGGGGCATCTGTACTTGGGGATTGCGATTTCGACGTGCGAGTATGGGAGAGGATTAAGAGCGAGCCTCTGCACAATGTAGCGCTTGATGACGCTCCCGATGCGCTCGCGGAAGTCCGTTGGGCGGGTCTTGCGCGGACACGAACAGATCTGCATCCATCACACACCAGCACTTCAGAATGTGGTCCGTGTGTGTCTATGTCTGTGTCTGTGTGTGTGTTGGTGGCCCCACCCCCCAGTCCTTCCTGACCTCTATGTAGAAAGCCTCGTTGAGAAGTCTCATGACAAGGCTCCAGAAGAAGTTCATTCTGAAGGCGTCGCTCACGGCCTTGCTGTCGAACTCACCGCCCCTATCGTCGCCCCCGTCCGGGTCGCCAATGTCGTCAATGTCCACATCCAAATCATCCTGGCCCTCATCCCTCCCGCCGGACCCGGCTGACGCTGACGCTGACGCTGCTGCTGCTGCTGGTGGCGCTGTTGCGCCCTCATGTGATCGGATGCGCTTGACGGTGGGTGCCCCGCGCACCTTGACGCGATACTTGTGCTCCAGCAGCTTCTGCCACCACTGCCTGCATTGCAAACAAACAGATACATACATACAGCACACTCATGCACTGCAGGTACACGTGACGTGATGTCTACGATGGGGGGTCGGGGACGTCCGTGTCGCCCACCCACCTGATGGCCTGGAATCTCGCCCGCGTCTCGGACCTGGCACTGGAGAGCTGGACGACTAGATGGCGCTCGCGCGGGGGCTCGCCATCTACCCTTGTGGCCCCGTCTGCCGCGGCTGCAGGTAGCGGAGAGGCTGCCGGTGATGAGAGCGCCTCGGCCTTCCTCTGGGCTGCCTCGGCCAAACTCTGGTCGATCAACCACACACATATAGCAGAGGAGAGACGACAGATGGAATCGGCGTGGGTCTGACCCGTTGCCCGTTGCCAGTGAGTCCCTTATCTGCCCGATACCGCCCACCTTGCTCAGGAACGAGTGTTTGAATATGCTGAAGGGGCTGCCGAGGTGGATGCCGCCCTCCCGGCGAGAGGACGAGTCGCGCGCCAGCGCCTTGCGCTTCTTCTGCAGCTCACGGCTCCTCTTGCGCTGCGACGGGCCCTTCTTGTCCTCATCGCCATCGCCGCCCCCCTGGTCGTGGTCGCCGTCCCCTTCGTCCCGCAGGTCGACCGACGATGGTGTGAGGTCGAAGCAGCACCCCCATAACATGCTCAAAGGGTCGAGCGCCCCGCTCCACTGCTGATGGAACTGCTGCCGGTAGGTCGGGGAGGCGCCGCCGTCAGCTGCTTCGCCATCCGCCATCTCCACATCGCCCTCGCCGCTCGGGAAGGGGGAGGGTCTGTCGAGTGTGGGTGGGGGAGTGGTTGGCGGGGGCAGCGGCGGGTGGCCGAGGAGCGTGACGGCGAACTGGGTGAGGTTGATGTCCAGCCTGTGGAGGCCGTCCTTCTCGAGGTACCTCCTTCTCTGGTCGCGCATGGTCTCCCCGTTGCGCACCCAGTAGCCCTCCTGGATCTCGGCCGCAAACCGCAACACGCCCACACAGTGACGGATGATACGCTGCATTGCAGCGAATCGAATCGACAGACACGGACAAACAACGTCCCAGATGGACGCACAAGGCACCACCCAGATTCCCCAGCGTCACTCACTCACTCACTCACTCACCGTGAGCACGTCAGGTGTGAAGAGGCACCTGAGGCCGTCTAGCTTGACCTCGCGCGTGACGGGGATGGGCGGCCCCTCTGAGGGCGGGAGTGCGTTGTGTGGAGTGGACAGGGGGCCGGTGAGTGTCCTGAGCACCTGGTGGTAGTCGAGGCTGCTCGCCAGGAACCGCAGCAACGGGATGTGGAAGGACGCCTTGTCGGACGTGTTGTACAATCTGCACACACAGGCAGTGTGTCTGTCTGTGTGTGGCATGGATGGGTGTGTGGGTCGGTGTTGCTTTGCTTACGGTGGGAGTTTGAGGAGTGTGTCGACGAGGTCGCTGTAGAAGGCCAACGCGGAGACGTTCTCAACCACTTCGGGACGCTTGCAGTGCTCAAACTGACAAAGAGCCACACACACAAATGGGGATCGACATGCCATGCACGTGTGTGTGTGTGTGTGTGTGTTGTGTCTGTGTGAGTTTAGGGCCGTACGAATGGCTGGAAGGTGCTGTTGATGAGTTGGACTTCGAGCGGGAAGCTGACCTCGTATCTGAGGTTCTCGTACGGGATGTGGTCATCCTTGTAGCGCTATCCGACCGATACACACACACATGCAGACGCACAGACGCATGGCATCCATCCATTATTGTGGTGTGATGCATATGGTTGATGTATGTATGTATCTGCCTGCGTACGTCTTGGAGGTTCATGCGATTAAAGAGAGTCAGACAGTCGAAGAAGGCCTGCAAAGCAAAAGGTAGGTATCCAGGACACACACCTATTACGTGAATGTGTGTGTGTGTTGCCGATGGCTTTTCTGTCTCACGTACCTGTCGTGTCTCATAATCCTCCAAGGCGTAGGCACACACGTCACGATGGTTCAACAGATACCTGCACACAACGGAACACTCGTGGCCATCCGCCTGCCTCCCTCTCTCTGTTTGTGTGTGTGTCCTCACTTACTGTAGGTCTGTCATGAGCCGCATCGCTGTGCCCTGCCCGTGAGTACGCTCCGGCTGCACTGTCTGACGGATGAATGAATGAATGAATGAATGAGTGAAGGGACAGATAATTAACATATATAGCCGGGGAGGGGAGGGAAGGCCAAATGCGCACCGCACACACCGCACCAGCCACTCACAGTTGATTTGGTGTCTGTCATTCGTTGATTGATTGATTGACTCGCTCACCTCAGTGCGTTTGTCGATCTCGTAGTGGCTCCTCAGCGCCGTCAACACCGTCCTAATCGATGGATAGATGGGTACATGGACAGATGGATGGATGAGCCATGAAGCAAACAATCAGTGAGTGTGCAGTGCAGTGCATGTCACTGCGTGAGGTGCCGCCAGCTCACTCACTTGACGAAGCCGTCATGCACCAGCATTATCGCCTGCAGGCATCCGTCAAGGAGATGGACATGACACGGGTCGCCCTTCGACATGCCATGCTAGACCGTGTGTATGTGTATGTGTATTGTGTGTGTGTGTGACCAGTTCTGCGACGGTGAACATCTGGACGCTCAGCCCGTGTAGCGATGAGTCAAGGGCGTTGCTCTCTGACGGATGGACGGACGACACACACAGACAGACATGCCCACCTCAAGGAATGGTCGGTGGGGCGGTGGATCGCCGTACCGACGAGCTTCCTGTAGTTGTGGGCGAAGATCTTGCAGAAACGCCTGATGAACAAACCCATGCATTGATTGCATCGATGGATGGATGGCCGACGTCTGTGTGTGGATTTGTGCGCAGGAGAGAGTAATGTGTACCTCTTGAAGTTCGGTGAGATCATGAGAGCCAAGTAGAAGTTGTGCATCATCTGACGCAGACACACAGACACACCCATCAGAACCACACGATTGCCACCATCCATCCATCGATCCATCTGCACGGCAGGCCACCAGGCCCATTGCATTCATCCTGTCTTCTCGCGCACCGCACCCTCTGCTCGTGAGAAGTCAGCGTGTCATGTCTGACGCACACAGACAGCACCATCGAGCACAAAAGCCTTCCTTCTGTGTCGTCCCTCTTTCTGTCCACTCCGCTCACTTGTGTATCCATCTCTGCAGGCGCTCGTCAGTGAGGGTGCAGCAGATCTGATAACGGAAACCGAAACCTGAAGACACGCACTCACAGACGCATGGATGGATGGATGGCAGCGTAGCTGTTCTGTGTGAGTGTGTTGCAAGTAGGTAGGTAGCTTACAGACGCCCGAGATGGACTGCAGCCACTCGATGATCTTGCTGAACGCCACCCTCCTCTTGCTGTCCTCCTTGTCGCCCAGAAATACTAATGCACACACACGCACATATGGACAGGGAGAGAGAGAGGCGGTGTGGGTCCTTCCCTTCCTGCTCACTTGAGTCTGCGTAAGCCACCAGGTCAGCGATTCTCGACCGAGAAACCTTCCTAATCTGCACACATCCATCCATCCATCCATTCATCCAGCCAGCCAGCCAGCCAGCCATCCAGCCATCCAGAGAATCAATCAACGATGACAGCTCGTCTGACTCCCATCCACCATTTCTCCGCTCACTCACCTTCGTGGGCACCATTTCCAGTGACCCAGGCCCTGCACCAGCAAAGCCCCACACTCATGCAGCTTCTTGTCCCCTGCCTGTGTCTGTCGTGTCGGCCCGTGCCCCATCCCTACCTACCGTCCATCTCAGGCGTGATGCCCTGATGGAAGCGGCAGAAACCACGCGGGTTCCACGACTGACATACAGAGAGAGAGACAGACAGACAGGTGATGTACTCATTAGTGCACTGGTTGACAGCCAATGCATTTGTTATCGTGGCTTACGCTTGCATCGCCGCAATCACAGCAGCCGCCATGGGTCATGCTCTGCATACACACACACACGTGGAGTTCGTCCGTGTGTGCTTGCGAGTCCAGCTGAGCTGCAGGCGGTGCGTACAATTCGCCAATTGTGTCCCTCGTGGTTGCCGTTGAAGAAACCTATCGACGGGCAGGCAATCACGACAGTTGCGTGAATCAATCAATCAATCGGCGAGTGCCGTGATAATATATCCAGCCTACATGGTGCGCAGATAGCACACGTCGGGTCCGCCTGGCAGTCATAACCTGCCGATGAACACACACACACACAGCCAACACACGGATACATTCTGTGTGTGTGTGTGTGTGTGATCTGGTCTGATGACACACATTTGAAGCAAATCTCGTTTTTGCCCCATACGGCCCCGCAGATGCCCGAGTTGCCCTGCGCTGCCTTGAGAGTCCGCTCCACTGCCTTAATCCTCTCCAACGTCTGCTCGCCGTACAACTCCTGCACACAAAACAACACGTCAGCCCATGAGTCTTAGATCACCGTGTTTGTGGCAGCCATGACTGTCACTCGCCTGCGTGAGTCCCCTGATGGCCTCGTCAGCCGTACAGACGTCCCCGTTGAAGAGCAGCTGGACGCTGAGGCCTCCCTCCTCGCCGCCCACCTCGTCCTCGCCGTCCACCCTGCCATCTGCCGCAGAACTTGCTGAGCCACACGAATTCATCGAACGCCACCTGCGATCTCCAGCTCCACCCCGCAAAGGCCTTCACACGCCATCCTTCCGACGAAACCTGCGAGCTTGGGAGAGGGATCGCGAGCTTTCTTTCCGATCAGAGCAACACAAGTACCCATCGCAAACCCTGTAGACACTGCACGAGCGACCAGGTTACGATGGCGGGTGGCGACGACGGCCAAGCAGAGGAACAGGACCACCTGACCTTGAAGGTGAGGCATCCAGACGTGGACAGAAGGAAGGCCAGGCGTTCACGGTGTGCAGGTGAAGAGTGTGGATGGCGGACGGGACGACTCCTTTTACAAAATCAGGTATGTTATATAAGAGATCTCTCTCATCGGGGGAGGGCAGAGCCGCGAGATCTCCCGCGTGTGTCGAATCTCTTTATCCCAGGAGAACGGCTCCCCTTGCGAGGCTCATGGGTGCGTACGAAAAGCAACACGGACTGAACCCGGCCTCCATCAGGTGTGTATGCTGAAACAAACAGCCCTTCAGTACCCTTCAGCCAGCCGCAATTGAATTGCGGATCGTGTGTGTTTGCGTGATGCTTGCCAGGTACCTGTTTGACGGCGAGCACATCCGCTCGGACAGCACCCCCGCTGACATGGGGATGGAGCATGGAGACGTCATTGACGCTTTCGACGCCGTGCCATGGCCCGCCCGGGGTGGGGTGGGTGCACACACAAACACACGGACCAATAGTGATTGATTGGTGGGCCGGGTGGGTTACAGGCGAAGGGGAGGCACCAGCGGCACCAGGAAACAAAAAGAGGAACAACAAGAGGGCCAAGGTGAGCGGGCAGCAGCCGTCATCACATCACGCGCCTGCTCATGCACATTCTGTGTGTAGAAACTGTTCCAGCAGGAGGGCGGCGGCGAGGGGGAGGGGGAGATGGAGGCGATTGTCAAGGACAGCAGAGTGGAGCAGGTCGAGCCAGCGCAGGCAGCAGCTGCGTTCAAGGCCGCCACAGAGAAGGTCAGTCTCTCACCCTCCTTCTTTTCATCCATTCATCCATCCATGCTTCTGTCTGCCCATGCGTCCATGGTTCATCGCTGTGTTCCTGCAGATGCGTATTCAGTACGTGTTGAGTCACATAGTGGAGCCTCCTCTGACAGAGAGCAACGAGGACCTGGCTGGGGAGGGCCGCATACCACGCGAGATGCTTGAGGACTTCTTCTCAAAAATTTTGGAGGCCATCGTCTGCACGGTATGCATGTCATCGATACTGCGGAGGATGGATCGATAGAGATATAGTGTGTTGTGTGTGTTATGTGGTGTGTGAGCAGGACGAGTACGCAGCCAAGGTGATGGAGTGCGTCTCGTATGAGGTGCCGCCACTGGACAGCGGCCGCCCGCCCATCTGGAAGGCGGAGGTGCCATGCGGCAGACAGCTGGTCGGCAAACAGCTTCAGCCCACACTCACGTCCAAATCGGTAGGTTGACATGCCTACACCGACCCACCCATCCACCCCCCTCTGCATCCGACCCGGGGCAATGTCGTCTGTCTGTTGTCTGCGTCATTCGTAAAGATCCATGTGGAGGTAGAGCGGTGTCCCTTTGTAGCGCATGGGGAAGTGCCAGTGTACGACAAAGGGGCGGTCAAGCGGGCGCTGGCCGCACTTCTGATGGAGCAACACGATGCCGTCGGTTCGTGAGCAACACACACGCCGTGCCCTCTGATGGACTGACTGAGCTAAATGCGTTGTGCTTTGCATCCTTATGGGTACAGTTGAGGCTAGTGACAGCCTGCCGGCTTGTGCCGAGGTGAGCACCCGTGCCGACCAATGGTATCCAAGAGCTCTCGGTGTCGCGTCGATACGTGTGATCTTCGTCAGGCCCAGCCTTCCGAGCCCAGCACACACGACGATGGCACTGGCGAGTGAGTGCTGTATGCTGTCCCTCAACCTCCTCTTTTGATGTGTGTGTGGTGTGGCCGGCCAGGGAGGCTCGGAGGCTGCGTGAGGTCAACAAGCAGGTGATGCAGAAACTGCAGCGCGCGTGTGAGGAGAACAAGGTGCTCAAGGATCAGTTGGCCTTTTCAGAGAAACTGTTCCGGTAAGCAGTGTGTGGGGATGATACACATACATAGTGCGGCCGGCCCATTCACCCATGGATGGTCCGTGTGTAACTGTCTGTTGGAGGTCAGGGATGATCAAGACGAGACAGACAGGCTGGCGTAATTACACTGCACCATTCATTCTGTCACATTGATCTACGTCTTGCTCTCATGCTGTCAGAAGGGAGCTCACCAAGCGGTCTAACGAAATCACCAAGCACAAGAACGAAATCGCCAAGCAGGAGGACAGGTAACGGGTGGATGCACACACAAGACAGACAGACAGACAGACAGGCAGCTGGCTGTATTCACGGGCGGGCGTGTGTGTATGGTTGCAGGCTGAAGCAGAGTGAGAAGGCCCGCAAGCAGCTCGAGGCGGCCAACCGCGACAAGGACAAAGACATCAAAAGGTAGGGCCTCGAGTGGATGCACGGCGCCCATTGCCTCAACCCCGTTCCCCTTTGGTATGTATGCCGTCTGTCCTGCCCTGTCCTGTCAGCAAGGAAGAGCACCATCGCCGGCAGCTACACGAAGAGCGCCAACGTAGCGAAACGTATGTCAACAGCCAGGCAGGCAGGCAGGCAGGCAGCATGAGCATGACGGGCGCTGTTCTTCTTGTTTGGGCCTGCATGGAGATAGCCAAGTCCGAATGGCAGCACCACAAGCCCACAGGCAGGCCGATCGTTGTCTTGTGCATGTCAGGTTGCGAGACTCTATGGGGCCACTCGAGGCGGAGCTGATTAGCCTGCGAGAGAGTGATAGCGGCCACGTCAAGGAGAAGACATCACTCCAAGAGACTATCGCCAAGTGCGTATGGGTGTCGGCAATAGCCTCAGGCTCACTCCTGGCTCATGCATGTTGGTGTCAGGCTGGAGGCGAGCAAGCAGTCGCTCGAGACGAAACTCACACACCTCCGCAGCCACCAGATAGACAAGTGAGCACCTACCTAGGTACATGGCCATCCATCAATTCATCTTAGCGCACACCTTTTCTCCCTTTGCTATTTCCATCAGTTTGAGGGCGTTGCTGACGTCGTCTGAGACCGAGCAGGAGCTCTCCCACGTCGTCAAGACCCTCAAGGACAAGCAGGCGGCCATGATCGACGACGAGCTGCCGCAGGTACACCGCCTCATCAGGGAGGCCGAGAGCCGACTGGAGGCCGCACACAAGAGGGCCATGGAGCAGCGTGAGGCCGACCGCCAGGCTGCCGTAGAGCTACAGCTGCAGCAGGCGGCACGTGAGGCGCGGGAGACCATCCAGAAGGCCAGGGAGGAGGGGCGGGAGGACGTCCTTAACTGCGCCATCTGCAACGATGAGGAGAAACGCATCATGATTAGACCATGCGTAAGCACACAGTACTTACCACATCATGCCCGCACATAAGACGACACGCATACCTGCCGTCGATCCCTTTCCTCTGTGTGTGTGTGGCGTGGCATCAGGGCCATCTGTGTATGTGCAGAGGGTGCTACAACGACCTTATGGGAAAGCCTCTAGCAGACCGCCTCTGCCCCGTGTGTAGACAGAACGTCGGGGGCCACGTCAATGTGTTTTTGCAGTGAGGCAGGCGGGCCATCTAGTACAGTGCCATCGACTGAGGGGAGGGGTGATGTGCGTCTTGATAGTGAGGGCATGAAGGAGGGATGATGGCTGCCTGGCTGGCCCTCGACGTAAGTAAGTGGCTTCGTGTATATATATGTGTGTGGACCGGACCTTTTGTTGATCGTGGCGTGGTGTGTTTCTCTCTTGTGCGTGCGTGGATGCCAGCCTGCTGTGTACATAACATACACACGCTGAATGCGGGGGGGATGGGCGGTGCGGTGCATCGATGCATAGATCAGTGCATGAAAGAGGCGGTGGCTCTTATTTGGTGACTGACTTTATTTACGATGCATATCGATCTGCGTGTGTGTATGCCTTGCTCCTGTCTGTGAGAACATTCCTTCATTGGCAGCCCAGCCAACAGGGAGGGGACGGAGGAAAATTGACGGTCTTAAGAATATCCATCCATGTATTCCTCTCAACACGGATGTTGGTCTCGCGTGGATACATAAATGGGGACACTCATCAAATCGTTCAACCACCCAGCGCACCTCACGTTCATCCACGACAAGTGTGTGGATGGGATGGATCGGATGGGGGGATGCATGGGCAGACAGATGGCGAGGACGCACTCGCGCAGGCACATCGTCCAACATCCGCCCGAAAAATCGGCACTCAGCCACACACGATAAAGCACACAAATACAGACAGCTCTCTGGCTCATGTATATTTCCTCTCTACAAGGCCTTCAGGTGCCCGACAAAAGTGTCCCCATACGTCTTGACGAAGGCCCACCAGCCGCCATGCACCACCACCTCGGCCATCTCCCCCGCCTCCCTCGGCGGCAGCAAACTCATCGTGTGCGCGTTGCGGGGCAGCGGGCGGGCATCCGCACCGCCCGCCACACTCACACTCTCCCATCGCCATGGGTCCGTGTCGGTCCGGAGAAGAAAAGCCTCATCCAGAGGCTGCAGACCCTCCATCTCGCCTTCCTGACCGGGTCTCTCAGCGCCGCCCCACATGAGCACCCCGTTGTCGACCTTGACCATGGCCGTGGAGCAGCAGGGCCCTGGCCCCTGGCCCTCTATCTTACTGGTCATGTCGGTCCACTTGTTGTCCTGCAGGTCGATGGTCCACACGTCGTTGAGGAAGCCGCCTCGCTGCGGGGCGCCGCCGAATATCAGCAGGGTGCGGTCGTCCAAAGCAACCATGCTGTGCAGACCGCGGCTCGCCGGCGGAGAGGCACCACTCGGGGAAGAGATCTGTGCGCGAGCAAGATGGAGAGATGGTGTTCAAGAGGATCCGTGTGTGAGTGTGGCCGAATCATGTACCGGCAGCTTTTCGACGGTCTCGTTCTGTGTGTCGATGACCAGGATGTCGTCAAGAGACCTGACAAGAGATGGCGCATGGTGTAGTGTGCATACCATTGCTGCGGCGCGTGTGTGTTGGTAGGTACCTGTGTGTGTGTAGGTAGATTTTCTTGCCGATGACGGCGGCCTGAAAGCGCGATATCGGCTGCAGCTGCTCCTGCAAGCCGGGGTGAGACGACCACCTGACGAAGAGCAAAAGAAAGACAAAGCGTAGGACAGGTGCATGAGTGCGTGTCAGCTCACTCACTTGTATGTGTTGAGATCGAGCGTCCAGACGTCATTCAAGATGGTGCTGGGACCTGCAACACACACAGGGCGATGCAATGCACGCAGCACTTGCGGTCTCGCCTTCCTTTCTTGTGCAGCCCGACCCTCTGCGCCTGACGGGTTCCAGCCGCCGATGAGCCACATCTTGTCATCCACTACAACTGACACATACCATACACACACAGAGAAACCATCCATCTGCCCATCAGTGCAGTGCATCCACCGCACCGCATCTCCCCCCAACCACTCACTCACCGGTCTGCGCCACGAGTCGCGGCTGCGGCACGTCCCCCTCATAGGCTATCTGCTTCCACTCGTCCTTGTCGACAGAGTAGAGCCAGCCCTCGTTGGTCACTTCACGCTTCGGCACCTGGCCCATGGGCCCGCGGTCCTCCATTAGCGACTCATCCTCCGTGTACCCGCCAAACACCAACACGTCATACTCGTGACCTGCAAACACACACACACACACACACACACACACAGACACACACAGACACAAGGAGAGAGGCTCATCGATGCCGTGTCATGATGCATTATCTGTGTGTACCTTTGGGCAGAGTGACGGCGCAGTGTCCCGATCTGGGCAGGGTGGGGCTGCTGGTGATGCCTTTCGCCTCCCACGTCAGCTCCACAGTCGGGGCTGCCATCGTGCATGGGCGAGAATGACGTGCGTGGCGACGACGCGATGAGAGGAAGGATGAAGTCGCACGAGGGGAGGAGAGGAAAGACGGCGGCTGAACACACACAGGCACAGAGCACAACCATGCATGTAGAATGCCTGACAGACTGTGGAGATGATTCAGGGTGTGAAAAGCTTACGTGTTGTCGGTGTGTGGCGCTGACGGCCTTTGCTGCGGGGATGCTGAGGACGAAGATGAGATTTGCGAAGATCATTGCGGCTTGTCCTCGACCAATTGAGCTCGCAATCGTCCAGGAAGTTGTTTGGCAATGGAGTGAGCAGCCTGACAGCAGGGAAGGAGTCGCCTTTGCTGTGAGCAGCAAGATCTTGCACCCATCCACCCCCCTCTTCCATCCACATCAGTCGTGAGCAACAAAGAGGCAGAACAGGCTTCGGGCAGCGTCACAGTTCCCTGTTATGGTGCGTGTATGTGTGTGCACATCGTCAGTCAGTCAGGCAAGAGAGAGAGTCCAGGATGCCCCGTTGGCATGACCCGTGGTTCGAGCTGCGTCGGTGGGTGCCGGTCATCGCCGGGATGGTGTATTGTCTCACCATCGGGTGTATGCACTGCTTCGGCAACATCACGCCCTACATCACCTCCTACATGCGCACCATCGGCGGCGAGGAGGTCCGCTACAAGGACAGCCACTGGATCTACTCAACGGCAGGCATCTCACAGGGCGTCTTCGGCTTCCTCGGAGGCATCCTCGAGCAGAAGGTCGGGCCGCGCATCGCAGCTGTCGTCGCCGGGTGGATCATGTCGATCGGCATCCTGGCGTCCTACTTCACCATGACCTCCTTCTACGGCCTCGTGCTCAGCTATGGCGTCATATTCGGCATCGGCTGTGGGCTGGCCTACCCCATCCCCCTCTCTGTGGCACTCAAGTGGCACCCCGACAACAAGGGCCTCGTCAGCGGACTCATCTTCGTCGCCAGGGGGCTGTCGGTCTTCCTTCTGACGCCGCTGCAGACGGCCTTCGTGAACCCCCTGAACCTCTCCCCTGACTTCGGGCCATTTCCCGAGTCGTCGCCGAAGGAGACCTACTTCACGGACACGGGTGTGCTGGAGAGGGTGCCGCTGCTGTTCCTCCTCATGGGGGCCCTGTTCGTGGTCATGCAGGCCGGCAGCGCCCTCTTCATGGGCAACCCCGCTGAGGTACATGTGATCCATCGCACGCACGAGGATGGGTGCATCGCATCCACCTGCAGGGGGATGCCCGCGTGTGCGCTTGTGTGTCAGGATGACCCCGATTTGGCAGCGTGTCTGGATGTGTCGCGCAAGAAGCAGCAGGCGCTGACAAAGGGCAAGGGCGGCGGGGATGCGGCGGCGGCGCGTGCGGCGGTTGGGCAGACGATCCACCCCGAGGACATCCCCATCCTCCCCATCCACAAGATGGTCTTCACATACCAGTTCTGGACCATCTGGCTCATCATGTTCTTCAACTGGCAGGTACCTGAACACACACACACGTCCGCACATCGGTCGTACTGGCCAATTGCCTGTGTGGATGCTCTCTGCAGGCAATATCATTCGTCAACGGCTTTTGGAAGATCATTGGTCAGACAGACATGGGTCTGGACGACGTGACGCTGGCACTGCTGGGGTCGGTTGCGGCGGTGACCAACTCGCTGGGCCGTGTGGTGTGGGGCATGGCTGGGGACCGGTTCGGTTTCAAGACGACCATGATGGCCATCTGCGTGTCGTTTTGGTTCTTCCTCATCACACTGCCGCTGTGCCACACCGACACGCTGGCTTTGTACGGCATTGTGGGCATGAACACTCTGGTCATGTACTACATCTGGATCAATGTCATCAAGATCATCGACGGCGGGTGAGCTGACCGCACCGGGAAGGAGGGAGATAATTGCAACGTCCATATCCTGTGCGTCTGGCGTGTGTGGTGTAGTGCGTTTACGATCTTCCCTCCGGTGACGAGTGACATCTTTGGCAAGAGGAACTTCGGCCCCGTATTCGGCCTCCTCTTCACAGCAAGGGCTACCAGCTCACTGGTCAGAACGCGAGAAACCCATACACGCAGCCAGCATGACATACACAAACACACCACAACTGTCTGGCTTCTTTGCCTCGTTCAGGTTGGTTCGTCCATCTGTTCGCTTCTGTACGACGGCAAGACGGTGGACCTGACGGGCATGTGTCTGCTGATGTCGTCGTGCTTCATCGTGTCGGCAGTGCTCACGCTGTCCTTCAAAGTCAGCCCGATCCCAGTGCCACCTGGATATCACCCACTCAGGACACGCACACGATGAATGAACGAATGAGTAAAGGCAGGAAACACCCACACACACACTCTCTCTCTCATCGGCTTGCGGTGGGCGGCTCTGCTGTCATTGATTGTACATAAGTGTAATGGTTGGTGCTGCTCGGCTCGCCCGCTGACACCAAGACAGACAGACAGACAGAGACGAAGGGAGAGGAGTGCTGGCCGCTGCATTTTTCGACCCAGCAAGCTCACAGATGGTGGCGGCGGATGGATGTGTGTGTGTGTGTGTGTGTGGAGTGGAGTGGAGGGATGGGTGTCCGTTGTCTGTAAGTAAAGGCAGTTTCAAGCGTTAGGTCTATCTAGAGAGATGGATCGACTGAGAGCAGCTAAGTGAAATGGATCGATGTGTACAGATATTTAGCCGTTGCAAATGAGAGCAGCAGCAGAAGAGAGATTCACCATGCATCTGAGGCAGGTCTTTCCTCTGATGGATGACGTGTTCGTCTGGAGTGGGTCCATCAAGCAGCACCATCACAGCCGATGAGTGTCTGCTCGACGGGCTCGTGGCGGTTGGAGCAACACACACATCGAAGGGGAAAGGCCCATCCAGCATGCTGTGCTTGCTGCATGGAGACAGACACGCTCATCGTATCAATTCAGTCGAACCATACGTAGCGGTGAGTGAGTCCACCCACACCTACACGCGTTGGTCGGTATTCACTCATGCCACCACCACACAACATATATAAAATGTAAGCAGCGATTGATTGACACAAAGGGGGCTGTGGAAGCACCAGGGCTGGCGAACTCGACAACGGGGCAGTGTTGTCTGCAGATGGGCCGGGCATTCCTCATGCACGTAAGCTCACCTAATTTGGTCGCTCTCGACGCTGTCTCCACAGCAACCTTCCACCATCTGCAAGTCGAGTCATCGTGCCTCTGCCGTCTGATATAAAATGTAGGCAGTGATAAATCGGCGGCTCGCTCCAGTCGCCCGGATGCTGGTACATACCTGCATCCAGCCATCCATCCATCCGTCCAGCGGTCCTTCCAGGTTGGCTCTGACTTGTGTCTCTTACAGATGCGCTGGCGACGGACGATGGGCTGTGCTGACCTGTCGTACCAACGGTTGAAGTTGCTCAGGATCTGCGCCACACACACACATGTACCATGTACTCATCGATGAGTCGCTGGCCGGCCTGCCTGCGTGTCTGTCGAGTGGATCACTATGGGTGCTTTGTGATTCCCTCGATGGTGATGCGAAATTGCGGTATGACCGTCAGCATCCGTCTGATCAGACTTGCAGCACCTGGAGAAAAACAGCGCGGCCTCTGATCGAAGACACGCACCAATCAGCCATCCAATGAGTGACATACAATCCATTCGTCATGGCATGCGAAGTCGTGTGTGAATATTCACACTCGTTGCTCCATCAGAGACCCAGCGGGGCAGCTGATCGCGTAAGCACCAACCAACCATCCTTTCATCCAGTGAGTGAAGTGAGCATGTGATTTGATACCTCGAAGTCGCCCCTGAGAATCTTTCCGTACAGCTTGGCCGTGTCGTCGCGGTCCTCGAAGGGCAGGTGCCCGCATATTAGGGCGTGGAGAGTTATCCTGCAATGCATCCCATCCACAACACAACACGGCATAACAGCACACAGACAGACACAGACGTGTCTGGTATGCGTTCTGTAAGGCAATGCGGGCTGGGCTGCTTGGCTGGTTCACCCGCACGACCACACATCATCGCACACGGCGGGCACGTACTGACGGCCAGCGATCATCTGCAAGGCAAGACAACACAACACAACACACGTGAATGGCCAAGTGAGCATCGGGTGAGGAGGAATGCATGTCTGTGTGTGGTGTGTCTCACCTCGGGTGCGGCATAAGTCGGCGACCCGCACGACGTCTTGAGCAACTGACCGGCCTGAAACAGACAAAACCACAGAGAGAGAGAGAGAGAGAGAAGAGGATACGGGTGGGCTGTGGGTACCCTCCCTCCCTCTCTCACCTCGTATGTATTGGACAAATTGATTAAAGTCCACGATCTTAATGAATGTTGCCTTACTCATTCGATCATGGCATGCGAAGTCGTGTGTGAATATTC